GAAAATGAGATAGATAAGTTGAGGTTGGATTAAGCTTAGCTAATACTTTCTATGAACATATATTAATCATACAGAAGGGTTTCATTGTGTTGTTTCCTTAAGTGTGCATAATGACCTTTGATCAAATTCACCTCCTCTACAAGACTTTTTGAATCCTTTCTATTTAATTATTTAATTTAATTATTTTCTTTTAACATGTTTAAAATACTTCAATCTATATTTTCTCTTTCATTCCTCCCTCTCCTTTTGCCCATCCCTTCCCCATAGGTTCCTACTCCAAAACAGATCCCAATTTACACTCAGATCATTAGCTGGGAAAGTACTCTAGTGTGGGTCATTAATTGAATTAGTCAAGGTGTGCAGGAGAATTCCCTGTTCCTGAATACAATGATCCATTGCTTCCGACACTTCAGGAAAATTTTGCCTAATGGCCATGTTTCCTAAATATCCTTTGTCATTTCCTCCATAATTGAATCTGTAATTTCTTTTCCACTTTTACTGGCTTGTCACCCAAATGATGAGAATAAGACTTCCTTTTCTTCCTCCTTAAGTGCTAGAGTTTATGGTGATGTCTCAAGAGAGCACATGTCAAATTAAGTAAGATAGAACATGGTTTCAGCCTCCTCTGATGTATGCTTTATTGGTGTAGAATCATTGTTTTACAAAGACTCCAGTTTGTGAAACAAGTTTTTTCAAGAATAAGCACCCAAACAAGCTACAAAGCTACATGTTGTCTTGGATGTTTAAATGATGAATCAGTCTTCTGCTTTCTTTGGACTCCAGTACTTCCAAAATGGGTTTGAAGATTGCATCCACCTTTCCTTTAATTCAGCACTGCAATGGATAGTGCTCTAGTGAGGTTCAAGGCACAGAAGTAATGTTGATAGAGTTCCCCTATGACCCAACAATCCCGCTTCTGGGAATTTACCCACAACCAAGGCCACACTAAAGCCACCAACATGATGATGTTCAATACAGCACTGTTTACCATAGCCAAGATGTGAAACCAACCCAAATTCCCCTCAGTAGATGAATGGATCAAGGAAATGTGGTACATATACACAGTGGGATTCTGTGCTTCCATCAGAAAGAGTAGCATCGTTCCATTCATAAGGAAATGGAAAGACTTGGAAAAAATTATAGTAAGTGAAGTAAGCCAGACCTAAAGAAAAGTAGGTCACATGATCTCCCTCATTTGTAAGAACTAGAATATGTATATGATATTCTTACCAGGGATTTTCAAGAACCCATAGTGCATAGGACTATACATAATGAAGCATATCAATATGAATTCCAATTTATGGAAACAAGAAGTTCTTATTAGACCCTGTGTGTAGTTTGTTCCTTTTTCTCTATTGTTTTATTTTTCCTTAGTTTATCTTAGGTTTTTGCACCTCACGTTTTGCACATTAGATGATGTAATATGTGGAAAGGAAAGGAAATCACAGAAACAGCAGGACAATGGATGAACTACAGCAATCTTGATACTCATTTGACACTATGTTGGATATGAACTGTACAACTTAAGGGGGGAATAGAGGGGAATAGGGAGGCATAAGTGAGGGACAATGAGAGATGGGATAACAATGATTAAAAACAAATGTACTTATTGCCTTACATATGTAACTGTAATCCCCCTCTTCATCACCTTTTCAATTAAAAAAAAGTGATGTTGAATCACCCATTGTTCTTAATTTTCTTTATCATGCCTTTGCATGAATTGTCCTTCGTATCTGTGGGCTTTCTCCTACACACTTTCATGAAAATTGAAAAAGGAACCCAGAATGTTTCGATATTTTATGTTGTTGAATAATGTAAGTCAACCACTGGTTTTTAGACCTTATAGGACCAAGATCTCAAAATATGCTTATCTTACCTTTGAAACAATATATTTAACTTTAATAGGACAGCCATTTACCAGTTGATGCAGCTTTCTAAAGTAAGACCAGACAGCATATTGGCACACAGTTTTATGAATAAAAATCAATCTGAACCCTTCCTCCATCAAGTGTATCCATGGGCCAGTGGCATATGCATCACCCAGGAGTGAGGTGGGAATTTAGATTCCTATCTCACAGCTGTACCCACTGCATCAGAATCTGCCTTTTGAACAGAAACTGCAGCTTACACATGTACACATGAGGTTTTGAGCTGGTAACAGAAAAGTTCACTTAAGTTACATTTCCCTTTGATATGGAAAAAGATAAATCCATACAAGGGTGGATGACCTGCAAAGACTGAAAATTATAAAGAGTGAAAATTACATGAGATCTACAGGAAGTTACAAATGCTGGAAAGAAATAAGGCAAAACAGTAAAATAATGGGTAGTAGATAGTATTTAGAGAAGTTGAACATGGAAGGCATTGTGTAACAGGAGGTCGTGGACAGAGAGCCCGGAATTAATCAGTAATAAGTCATGGAGGTCAAGCCTCTGTGGGCATTTGATTGGTTAGAGATTTCCATAAGAGTGGAGCATAGTTGAGGCTCATGTCCCTCATGCAGCTAGTGTGACATTATTTCCTAGAAAGATAAAGTTAAACTGGAGAGATGGGACGGAAGATTGATTATGACACCAGTAGAACTGATTTATGGAAAGAGAGAAAAATAATTAAATGGACAGCACTATGCTATAAAAAGAGGTTATGGAGACATGGCTATTCATCTAATGTTTTCTTCAGTGCTGGTTCTGTAGTATCTCTATGAAAGAAGTATCACTGTAAGGAAGGAAAGTTGCTGAGAAATTGGTTAGAAAGCAAAGTAATATCAACTGGAATAACTTAATTAAGAGCTATAGTAAAGATTAAATGTCAGACAATTTTACCTGGTGCTTAAGGCATGAGCTTGGGTAGGGTAAATGACGTTATCCCATTTCTGAAAGCCGTGTAGATAAAGAATGAACAATATATGAAGTTGTCCATTTGGCTCCCTGGGGAAATAATTGAAATCATATTCCTTGAAACTTCTAAAATTAGGGTGAAGGAGTAGGGTGACATATGTGGGCAGTCTCAACTTCTTACAGAGACAGAGTGATTGATAAGTAACATTTTTCTTTTGCAACATTCTTATTGGTGATGTTACCAAACAGATACAACTTGCCCCTCATCAAGTTGGCATCTTATTTAAATGAGAACGCTGTCTTCTATATAAACATCTAGAGGACATCACCCATCTGCCTCCATGCTGTCTGCCTCATTGGTACCTGCTAGCATTTCTTTTTCATGTCTCTTTATTTTGTAACTAAGAGAAACCTTTCACTACATAACAAAAGTGGGCTCTCTTCTCTCTTTCCCTTCAGTCAGAAGCTAAAAAGACAGCCCCAAAATGCACGTTGCCTTTTGGAGCCATTTGTTAAATGAATGCAGAAGCTCTGAAATATCCCACTAAGCTAGAGCTTAGTGATTATGTGTGTGTGTGTGTGTGTGTGTGTGGGTGTGTGTGTGTATGCGCGTGCGTGTGCTGATACTGGAATTTAATCTAAGGGCCAGAGTGCTGTCCCTTGGCTTTTTTTTCCTCCAGCCTGATGCTCTACCACTTGAACTATAGCTCTACTTCCAACTTTTTGCTGATTAACTGGAGATTTGTCTTAGAGACATTCCTACCAGGCTGGCTCTAAACCATGATTCTCAAATCATAGCTCCTTACTAGCTAGGATTACAGGTCTGAGCCCTCAGTGCCCAGCTAGTGATTCATCTTAGCAGGTAGAAATCCCAGCTCATTTTGCTCAAGAGGAAGGGGCCAAGTACCACATTCTCTTCTGCTTGACTCAACAGGCGAGCCCAGAAACCCAATTGCATGAATCAGAAAACTAGTAAACCACAATAAAAATCATTTAATATTCTAACTCATTTTTCCTGCTAACTCCTTTCCAGTCCACCTTTGTCTTGTCTAGAAAATCTAGTTTAATGTAAGTACTTGTAAGAATAATTAATACCAAAAATATTAACTGCAGATATTAAATGTACTCTTTTTTGTTGGTATGTGGGAAGGTTTGTACAACTTAAACATTAAAGAATTTTAATTAAATTATTTCGGTTGTTTCAGAAATGAATCCATTTTTGTTTATTGTAATTTTTAAATTAATGTTTGATTTGATTATGTATGGCTTTGTGTACTTGCTTTAGTTGTAAGAACTTTTCTTTGCCTTTAACTAAAAGTTCTTACTCTTTTCCTTTTTGAAAGAGACCTAAAAAGGGAAATTAAAAGGTTAGGATTACATTCTGCTATTGAGTCCATTATAGAAAGGTAAACTCCTCTCCATCCTGTTTATGAAAGTGGCTCTAACAAATTACCAGGATTTTAACATGTGCAAATAGCAACCGTCCTTAAAATGAAAACTAATTGGGAAGAAAAAAATTAATAAGGTGATAAATTGCAATGTTACTTTCTCCTCTTTTGTTTCCTGTTATCCCTACCAAAGAGGAAGGCACGTGGTTTTCTTTTTTTTTTTTTTTCTTTCTAAATCATTCTACTAGTGTCATATTGATTTTCTCTCAAGTACGCCCCGTGGTCTCAGATGATCACATATTTTCTTATATTACTCATGTTGATACAGCACCTGGACTCATGGGTTGACATATATTACTTGAGCTGCAATAGCACAGCTCACCATTGATGTTTCCTGGTGACGGGGTGTACAAGACTCTTACATATGAAACAGAAGGGACCAGGCTGTTTCAGAACAGCACTTTCATCCTTGAAAAGGCAGTTCGTGTTGACCCTAATGACACCCAGAGCCCGGGACTGGTGCTTGATATTCTTCCTACAAGTAACCACAAGGTCAAGTTCTGTGAGTGTGTGTGTGTGTGTGTGTGTGTGCTGACACATAAACAAGTTCCTCATCTGGGTATCCAAGTACACTATTTGCAGGAAAACAATTGCGTTCATAAGTGTTGGAAAGAAAGACTCCATGTCGTGTGCCCTTGAGACCTGGCTGTCGCGTGCTGGCTCTCTGCTGTCAGGCCTTGAGAGTTTCCTCTCACGTCTCTGCTCTCTGTTTCAGCTAGCCGTGAGGTGGTTGGAGCACAACTGCCATTACCAGCACATGGACGAGCTCCTGCAGTACATCCGCTTCGGCCTCATGGATGTGGACACCCTGCACACGGTCGCCCTCTCCCACCCCCTGGTCCAGGCCAGCGAGACAGCCACAGCCCTGGTGAACGAGGCCCTGGAGTACCACCAGAGCCTCTACGCGCAGCCCGTCTGGCAGACCCGCAGGACCAAGCCACGCTTCCAGTCGGACACCCTGTATATCATCGGGGGGAAGAAGCGGGAAGTCTGCAAAGTCAAGGAACTTCGGTACTTCAACCCGGTGGATCAGGAGAACGCGCTCATCGCCGCCATTGCCAACTGGAGCGAGCTGGCCCCCATGCCCGTGGGAAGGAGCCACCACTGCGTGGCGGTCATGGGGGACTTCCTCTTCGTGGCGGGAGGGGAAGTGGAGCATGCCAGCGGCCGGACGTGTGCGGTGAGGACTGCCTGTCGCTACGACCCTCGGAGCAATTCCTGGGCCGAGATCGCCCCCATGAAGAACTGCAGGGAGCATTTCGTGCTAGGCGCCATGGATGAGTACCTCTATGCAGTGGGGGGCAGAAATGAACTGCGCCAGGTCCTGCCCACCGTTGAGCGGTACTGCCCCAAGAAGAACAAATGGACTTTTGTGCAGTCCTTCGACCGCTCCCTTTCCTGTCACGCTGGCTATGTGGCTGATGGTCTTCTTTGGATATCAGGTAGAACATGCCTCCTATATCGGATCTATAGGAAACCTTTTCGCTGTGGCACACATTTAAAATTCAAGTTTTGCTGTTAAGCGCGGCCGGGTGTAACTGAAGGCTAGAGTCAGGGGTGGCCTTCTAGCTAATTCATAGTCATGTATTGAGCTCCTGTTTTTATGGAGAACACTGTGATCAAAGGTGGTTGACCATTCTATGGCTTTCTGAGTGATTAGTGGAGTAAAAATTCAAGATGGAAGTTACACGGCCCATCACACCGGTTGTATTGCCCTGCTTGTGGTTTATCTGTGCTCTACCATTTTGCCAGGTGTAGCCATGATATACATACGCATATACATACAGGTATTCACTGTTCTGGGAATTGGAGAAAAGGATTTGAGTTACTGAAACAAATTTTTGTATAATCTGTGAGTGACAGTTACTTGTGCTATCCTAATGCTTTTCATACCTGCTTACTCCCCAGTTTTACTGATCATTTGGAGTTATGGCTCAATGTCTATTATAGTTTATGTTTTTGACTTCTGATCTTTTAGATTTTGCTTATAGAAAAAGTAGAGAGAGCGGTATAGTAAACTCCGTGCACCTTAATTCAGCTGCAACAATTGCTAATTTCATTGCCAATCTTGCTTCATCCAGTCATACATTACCTTCAAATCCCTTTCAGTTGTCTTTTTGCTCATGCAGATGGAGTATGGGAGGCATCTGTTATCAATATCACAACATCAACTGGTGTTTTCAATCTTGTTAAAGAGGAAGACATGAAGTGTCCTATGAAAGTCCGCCTCTCGGTGAAGGAATTTACATCTTATCTCAGTTAGAGGATGCCCGCTTTGGTAGACAAAAATGGAACTTGGATTTTTGTGTCAACAGAGAGCCAGAGAAACAGAAAGATCAATAACATATAAATAAAAGGGTAACTTTGATGTTTCTACTTGAAAGAATCACTTGTAGTAAACAAAGGCTTTTTGGCTTTTCCCAGTAATCATCTTCAGATTTTTTTAAGCATCTATTTTGACAAAATTCTCCTGTGTACTAAATTAAGTTTGCTTGGACCCTGCTCATTTTTCCTGCTGCTGATCCAGGGAGACAATCAGAACTACGGCTTTTGTGGATGATGCCTTAGTGATTGGCAGTTCACTCATGTTCATTGATGAAGCCTCACTTACATCAGGGTTTAAATACTCAATACATTAATGAATGAAATAAGTCTAGGAGAAAGGAAGAGGATAAATAAGAAGCCCACAATTACTGCTCCTGTATACCTAACAAACATTTTAAAAATGAGTGTGCATGCATTAAAGTATATTTAAATAAAACCCTTAATTGCCTTTTTTCTTTAAATATGTATTTTAATGATTTTAGAAAATAACCACCAGTACTATATCCTGTTGATTTTGCTGAAGAAACTTCAAACTGGCTGCAGCTAAGTATTTGCTGATAGAAAGGGCCAATTTATAATTTTTTGGTGGGGGGGGGGGCAACAAAACTGATGGGTTTGTGAAATCAATGCAATTTATGTTTTCTTCCAATTTACATTTCTTCAATTGACTCGTTTGGTTTCATATATTGTTAATATACTGTATTCCTAAATTTTACATTGCACTTTCTAAATTTTGTATGAATTTCTCATAAATATTTTAATAAGTATTCCTTGTTTTGAGCTGTAAAACAAGCTTTTTGAAAAATGCTATAGTTTCCCTTACATAGTCTTAAAGATATGACTACTTAATACCCTTTCCAAGGCAGCTTAAAACAGCACAGAGGCTCATTTTAGAATGACTCTATCTGTCATCCTGATATCAAGTTGACTTCTCTTCCAATATGGGCCCTAAATTTTCCTTTCCCATTTTATTAAATCTATCAACATATTATATATCTTATTGCCATCTCTGTTTTTTTTCCTACTGTGATAGGAAATGCATTTTCTTTGTTCTTTTGCACTAATGTATGCTGCCTGTGTTAACTATACTTAATGAAAACAATCACAATTTTCTCAGGTTTGTTTCTCCCTACTGTGTACTTGAGATGAGAAACTCACTTTCCTGTGTATAGTACAATACCTTTAATTGGAAAGAAGAGGAAATCACCAGTGATATTTCTAATACCTTCAGTCACCTGCCTCTTTCCTGAGGCCCAGATTATAATAAATCAATTGTGAATCTAACCATGAATGGGAGCGATAGCAAGACTGGCTAATGGGCCCTTCCAAAAACAAGCAAACAAACAAACAGGTATAAGATATATTCCACCCCTCCTATCACTGATTTAGAAATGTTAAGCTGATTTATTGGAAGAGATGAAAATGTTTGAGGCTATTTTTTTTATCTTTGACCAAATAATCAAGTATTTCCAATTTAATTGATAGGAGACTGAATCAGTGGCATCCTCCTGGTATTTTTCAAGCTTTGCCTGAGGTTGAGGTAGTATGAATTATAGAATGTGGATTTGAGAGGCTTAGTTCTGTTCCGTAGAACACAAAATGAATGTTTCTTTAGAGATTCAGTATTGGCAGCATGCTCACACCATTCTTGTGCCCCTCCTGTATGCCTGTCTGTTTGGAGGTCAAGGCATCTTGAAAATGGCCCATAGTTTGTAAAATGTGACAAGCAGAGAGGAATTCAGAAAATCAGGCTGTATGGATATACCCATTAGCATTTAATTTAAGATGTTAGAAGCAGTCAGATTTTACAGCCTCCTGTAGCATTTGACATTGTGACCCAATTCACAAATGCTCCATGCCATTTCCATTTGAAATTCACAGTACTGAAGTAAAATAAGCATTAAATATCCAGCAGTTGTGCTTTCAAGTACATACTGTCTGATGTAGAGGATAGCTCTTGAGCCACAAAAAACATTTTGTATATATGTGTATGGAGGAAATTAATACTGAACTTATCTTTAAGAATGAACATTATTTACTTAATTATTCATTCATTTATTTTCTGTTGCTTGGTTTATTTAGCTGATACCAGGATTTAAACTCAGCCTGTGCTCTCTAAGTTTTCTTGTTCATGACTAGGCCACTACCACTTGAGCTACACCTCCAGCCCAATATTTTGCTGGCTAATTGGAGAGTTTCTTGTATTTCTACACCCTTGCTGGTTTTAAACTCCAGTCTGATCTCAGTCTCCTGGATAGGTAGGATTACAACTGTGTGCTATGGGAGCCCAGATTATCTTCATATTTTGATCAGATGATAGCAAGATAATAAGACCCTAACCACAGAATTAGTAAAAATAAGGCGAATATTTATTTGCAATATTTAATGCTGCTGTGATTCAATGAATACATCTTTATAACAGTAGTTCAGTATTATAGATAAATTAGTTAAATTCAGATAACACCTTTCCTGACCTCTAGAATCTGACAACGCATTTTGATTTTGTGGTAGTAGTTGCAGTTTTAGAAATTTCATTTATGAAAGAACATATGTTAAAGTTTGTTTCTTTAGTTCCCTAGAAGCTATATTTATTTTCATCTTCATTGAATTTATATGAAATTTACATTGCCTAAAGTAAAATAACTTTAACTTATTCAAGCCTGATAAAGACACCAGCTTTTCTACTGTCTGTTAAAATTACTACAATATAAAATTTCATTAACATTAAAAAATCGTAGCTTTTCTTTTTTTTTTTTTTTTTTTTGGGTCTGGTTGTGGGGCCTAAACTCTGGGCCTGGGAGCTGTCCCTCAGCTCTTCAGCTCAAGGCTAGCGCTCTACCACTTGAGCCACAGCACCACTTCTGGCTTTTTTCTTTTTGCTTCTGTGGTGCTGAGGAATCGAACCCAGGACCTCATGCATGCAAGGCAAGCACTCTACCACTGAGCCACCTTCCCAGCCCCGTAGCTTTTCTTTTTCCCTATCTTTGCAGATATTATCTTTACTTTATCTCATTTTTGTTGGTCGTGGTCCTTGAACTAAGGGCCTAGATTCTGTCCCTGAACTTTTGTGTTCAAGGATGGTGCTTTGCCACTTGAGCCATAACTCCACTTCCAGTTTGGGGATGGTTAGTTGGAGATAAGAGTCCTATGGACTTTCCTGCCTGAGCAGGAACCATGATCTTCAGACCTCAGCCTCCTGGGTAGCTAAGATTACAAGCATAAGCCATAAGTACCTGGTTTGTACAGACATTATTTTGATTGCATCTAAAATATTATATAAAAGTAGTGTGAATTAATTGAAGATTTGGTGGTGGTTGTGGTTCAATACAGATGTGATACTTCCTTCACTTCTAGGAATCATGATGAGAACCTAAGTTCCCAACCCCTCCAACTGCTGTCTAGGAAGTGCAGTAGTAACAAGTGCTAGTAGATCTAGCATACGATGGTATGATGGTAGATGTCTTTCCAAGGTATAGAAGTAGTGCAAAACAGGGAGTAATCATTGGATGGGATATGAAATGTAGTATCTCTGGCCTAATTTGGCCCAAACTCCACTGGTCACTTTCTATGCATCCATTAACCCCTTTCTGTCCTCCCACTTGAACATTATTATCTGATCACTTAAATAATTTCCTTGCTCTCTAAGAAACAGTGGACACCCCTAATGACCTACTTTGCACCTGTATAATTTGCCACTGGTATGCATAAGGTATTGGTTCCAGAACACACACACACACACACACACACACACACACACACACACACGCACGCACGCACGCACGCACGCACAGACACACACTGAAGATAAGAAAATCCATAGATATTCAAGTCATAGTATTTGCATAGAACCTTTGTATATGTTCCATGTGTGTCCATTTAAATGCAGTGTAAATAGTTGATATAGTCTTGTTGTTTATGAAATAATGACAAGAGAAAGGTCTGTACATGTTCAGTACCAGTGTAATTTTTTTCTTATATGTTTTGGATGTGTGTTGAATCTAAAAGTGAGGAACCCATAGTTAGACTATACCAGCCAGTTGGGTCTGTAGAACAGTTAATAGGAGAGCTTGATGCAGAGCATCTGCTCAGCTCACCAACCACATAACATTTAATGTAC